GAATTTGTCTTGGCGGTTGGTGCATGACAGTAGACAGTGTAACAAGTGTAACAATTACAGGTACAGCACGGTGGAGAAAGAGTGCCTGGCCATCCGGTGGGCGGTCGACTCCCTACACTACTACCTCCTGGGACGCTCTTTCGCACTCTGTTCGGACCACGCCCCGCTCCAATGGTTCCACCACATGAAAGATGCCAACGCCCGGATCACTCGGTGGTATCTGGCTCTACAGGCCTTTAATTTCAAGGTGGTCCATAGCCCGGGGGCGCAGATGGATGTGGCTGATTTCCTCTCCCGCTCCTGAAAGGGGCCGAAAATCGGGCGGTGGGGGTATGTGGGGGCGGGCGTGGTTTGGCTCAGCTGCAGAGGGGACGGAGAAGGTGTGGCTCGGGGGAACATAATTTGCCTCAGGTGGGATTAATGTGTGTGTGTGTTTGTCCTTAAGAAGGAGAGATCCGGCGACAGTGACAACGGAGCCAGGCGAAGAAGCTGGAGCCGGACGCGCGTTGGAAAAACGATAAATAAAGACTGTTGCTTCAAACTCTTCGCTGTATCCTCGTCATTCCACGTCCCCCCAAAGGGCCGCACGTTACACAGACTTTTTAGCAGTTACTTTCATTGTCACAACTGCAATCTGAGACTGCATGGCACGAGCCTGATACACAGCTACCACAAATATTTTAATACATAGAATGACAATAACAGAAATGGGAAAAATGAATGAAACGATCCACTGATATGAGCACCATTGTTCCTACTGAGGACGAGATAATAATGGATCATATAATCCAGTGTTTTTCAACCTTTTTTGCGTCAAGGCACAGAGAAAATCTCACGGCACACCAACAACCGGAAATTATATGAAAATCAATCCCAAACATAGTTTCAGCATGAGCATAATATACTCTAAGAAATCAGGGAAAGCGTGTCCTCTGTTTTAATAACGACGACACACACACAATCACACAAGTTGGCTCTTTTTTTCACCAATCACTGCATGAAAAGTGAGATTTTTGTCCCCGTAAACGCCCGGAAATCTCTCTAATTTCTGACAATTTCCGACAATTTGCAACCCGCGCACGTCGCGTTTGTCTGTGCCACAAATTGTCGGAAACGAACCATGACGTAGGTGGAGAGCTGGCGGAGGTGCGAATGGCCCGAATTAGCATATGAATGCCGCGAAACCGCGGGTGGCCGAGCCGAGCGGGCTTGAATATCCTTACTCCTTATTGGATGAAACCACAACTTACGAACAAATAAAATCACTCGTGATTGGCAGCAAAACCACACGTGGGCAGACCAGGCTTGAGTTTCCTTGTTCATGATTGGATGAAACCACAACTTTCAATCACTCGTGATTGGTTGGCAGATCTGTCGCTATTGGTCACCCGCCTCATTTTGATTATATATTCATATTATGCTGTATATTCATTCCATGGTTATCCTATGCAGGCTACTACACTATTATTAGGATACCAACCAGGACATCAATGAATTTATAGAGAAAATGAACATCTGACACATGTTTATGCAAAGAAAGAGCTTTATTAACAACATACAAACAACAACTACATACAAAGTGAGGATCTGCCCACACTTGGGTAACGGCGGTTTAAAAACTACAGCTCAGTAAACTGTCCGTTTGCCTCCTCGGGGTTGTAGACCGTCACTGGCGCCGTGTTTTCCGAGGCAGGTCTGTTGTGCAGGCGGTTCATGTGTGCGTGGCGACCGTACAATCCACCCCGAGACCCCGCCAACAACGCCGTCCCCTCCGTCCGACGTGAGCTCTACGGTGGCGGAGTTCCAGAGTTCCACCTCCAGCACACTTTGTCTCGATTCCAGCAGCTGTAAAAACAACAATGAATCAGTACAGTGCGATGCGTACGGACACAACACATCGATCAATGCACCTGAAACAAGTCAGCAAATAAACTCTGACCCGCTTTCTTCTCGCTCGACTCCGCGCTGAACTCCGCAATGAGTGTTCCGGCTGAACCTGAAGCTCCTGCGTCCCGTCTCACAATACGTCTCACAGGCGGCTGGAAAACAATTAAATGAGTGTGGTATGAATACAAAAAAAATCAAAATCAAGTCACAGTAACATTTAACAAGGAAGGAGAAACAGTAAACAGTGTCACTTACACACAATGACGTCGTCTAAATCTGGACTTTTCCCGGAGCAAATACGAGGTCACCGCCTCATTATGAGGCGAGATTAGTCTGTGAAAACAAAATGTACAGTTATGATTGGTATCTATACGTATATATTTCCTTATAGCGCAGAATGAAAGCATATTCTTTAAATCTTACCCTTGCTCCGGTTCGTAGCGCCTGTAGTTCGTCTCGGCGTTGTGAAGACTCCGCACCGCTTCCTGTAAACGACACGGCAAAGAAAACACACTTTAATAAAGTTGTTTCTGCTCACTTGTAAGGCTACCAGGCTACTCTTAGCTTAGCTTGAGGCTACGCTACTTTTAGCTTAGCTAGCAGTCATCGAACGTATTCTTACCGCTATCTTGGGATTGTGCGCCCGTCTCCTCTTCTTTGAGTCGGTTCCTCTCCTCCATGGACAGAAACCCGCAGAGTCCCGAACGCTCCAGTGGAGCGAACCGCTCGTTGATATCGGCAGTTTGTTGTTGGAGTTGACGAGACGATCCACTGAGAGCATTCAGCAGCTTCTTCTCGTCTGTCTGCGGACTGGCCGAAAGTTGGTGACCGCGGAGAGGAGTTGAAGGCGAGTTGAACGCGAGACGTCGTCCCGCCATTATTCACGAACCAGCAAAAACCAAACAAAGGAACTGGAGATACAGTTCTTCTGAATATAGTAACACACGTGTCTGTTTGTATGCTCGTCTTGCAAGTACTGCTGTATCAGTCATGCCTATGACCTCACACGTGATTGGAGGAGGAGTCTAAGGGTCCTCCAATCACATACGAGGTTATTGTTATATGGAAGGACCAGTATTTTAGGAAGACAAATGGTTGGGACTTTGAAACAGCTGATATGCTTTATGTAAAGCAGTGTTTTGGTGTCAGCAGAACGACTTTCCCTAGAAATCTGTACAGTGGTGCCTCTTTCTCCATTCCACCAGACAATCTTGAGTCTGACATACATGCAATGTTGACAATGTATCATCAGATGTACCCTTGTGTCACTGAGGTTGAATGTTTTGCCATGACGTGTAAACGGGTCACATATATGAATGTAACTTAATCGATAGATGCAGAGCATAATGTCGTAAGTGGTGTGGAAACACAACAGTTTTGAGGAACCCGTCCTTGACCCTCTAGCAGAACTATGACTAGCCATTATAAAGCAGTTTATAGTTGTTAATGTTGTGTCAAAGGGTACGGCATTTAAACATTTTCTTGCACAAGTTTCCTGGCTTCATCCCCACCCGGACAGACATTTTTATGGAAAGCCAATAGAAGTTTGGGGCTTGCAGGGAACAGACACGTCATACCCAGCATCATTTCTGCCAGTTGAGCGCATTGCTAGAAGATGTGTGGTTAATACATCCTCTGTGCATTTAAGTAAGACCAAAGAAAAGGTCACTGTAGTCCTGCCACGATGCACTGTAGTTGAGCTCTAGGAGACTGTGATCTCTGCAGACCCCTCATGCTGATTCAAATGTTGTTTGCATGGAATTTATTCCATTAGTTTTACAAGTTATTTTGTGTATCTTTTTTACATAACATTTGCCATTGCTAATGGCGTACACAGTAATCTAGCATATTTGAATTAAATAAATCAATTCAAGCTAAAATGTAAGCGTCTATAATTAGGCTACTGAGCCTGATCTATTTGTACCAGAGATTTTCTTACCTTTTAAAAAAATGTCACCTGGGCTAAAACTCCCTCTGCGACCCTGATTTGCGTTTGTATAGCTCACAGCATTTTCATTTACATGTCAAAGCCTCCCCTAGAATTAGGAGGAGGAGGGTTATGGGGGGACAACTGCCAAGGGAGGCCCACATCAATTTCTGACAATTTCCGGCAGTTTTCGGCGTTGCCTGCAAATTGCTGTAAACCTGAAATTCCACGACAATTTACAGTGCCGCATACTGCCGAAAATCCCACTTTTCATGCAGTGGTTGTTGAACTTTTCATGGCAAACTGCTAAGATAAGGGACATTTTACAACTGTCTTTTGTGCATGTTGTTTGGTTCTGGTAAGCTGAAGGTTTGGGGAGTGACACGGGCGTGTGGCGGAGCCAAATGCAGCACAACGGCACGGAGTGTTTGGTTAACGCTTTACTTGAACACGGCCTCACAGCAGGCGTTCGGGCACAATGAGAGGCAGAGCAAAGTGCGGTCCTCAGGATCGGAGAGGAGATGCCGGGAGACAGCTGGTGCGATCGCTGGGCCGGTCGGGGATCCGGAGCACAAGGGCATAAGCGCCGGGCAGTCCAAGGGGCAGGCAACCGAAACCCGAGGCGCTCAGGCAGGACTCGTGGTCGGGGACAGAAGGCTGACGTGCTCACCGGGGCGGAGACAGACGAACGGGTCGGGAACAGGCAGGGTCGAAACCGGGAGATCAGTCGGAGGTAGAGTGCTGGAGAGACTTGCATGACGCGAAGAACAATCTGGCAATGACAGGCTGGGTGTGCAGTGTTTATGTAGCGGGGTTGATTGTGAATGCGAAGCAGGTGTGGATGGCAGGAGAGTGACTGATTGTGGATGCGGTGCAGGTGTGGACGATCGAGCTGGCAGGTGAGTGTGACAGGGAGTGATTCTTAGATTTTTGTCACTTGTAGAAAGTTTTCTTAGTAAGGAACTTCACAAATACTGCCCCTGACCTGAAGGTCAACATCAAAACAGATCAGTCACCTCCCGCAGGAAGGAAGATGAGCACGGAAAGCTCTTCAATCTCCATGGAGAAAGAAACAACAGCAGAGGTGATGCAGTAGGAGGGGTGGACCCAAAGTTACAAATCAGTTGAAAGACAAAAAGCTTTGGCCAGTCAGCTGAAGCTGTTTGGCAGCTTCTCCTCTCCGGTGATGGAAACCTTGGTGGGAACTGAACTTTGCTTTCCACAACTCCTCAACACCTCCTGCAGAAAGAAAATTCGTCCTCACTTAGAAACAATGTTGATTTACATTTTGTTGTCCTCCATCTCTCTGCTCACTGTAGCTCTCAACCTGCTGGTCATCATCTCCATCTCCCACTTCAAGTAGTTAAATATCTTATTTATTAGTAAAACTGGTTAATTTTAAAAAGTGTTTAACTTTTTCTTGTATTGTGTATTTATATCTGACAGATTAATTCCATAATTATTGATCCGAATATTAATGTTTGTTTCCCTCCAGGCAGCTCCAGACCCCTACAAACCTCCTCCTCCTTTCTCTGGCTGTCTCAGATTTCTTTGTGGGCCTTATTATGATCTTTCAAATAATGATAATAGACGGCTGCTGGTTGCTCGGTGATCTCATGTGTTCTCTTTGGTTGATTCTGTTATCCATTATTACCTCATCCTCTGTAGGAACCATGGTGCTCATATCAGTGGATCGATATGTGGCTATTTGTTATCCTCTGCATTACTTCACCGTAGTTAAACCAGTAAGAATTCAAGTCTGTGTTTGTCTGTGTTGGATGTTTGCTGTTTTATTTAACGGTCTGCTGCTGAAGGATAACCTGCAACATCCAGGCAGGTATAACTCCTGCATAGGAGAGTGTGTCTTTGAAATTAACCACATCGCTAATCTTTTTGATCTGATTGTTTCATTCATTTTTCCCATTACTGCTATTGTCATTCTATATATTAGAATATTTGGGGTGGCTGTGTATCAGGCTCGTGCCATGCGGTCTCACATTGCAGTTGTGACAATGAAAGTAAACGCTAAAAAGTCTGAAATGAAAGCAGCCAGGAATCTTGGTGTTGTTGTAGTTGTGTTTCTTATATGTGTTCTCCCATATTATTGTTCCGCTCTTAAATCCCAAAATAACTTGTACACAGCTTTATCTGTAACCATTGTAATATGGTTTTTTCATTTCAACTCCTGTCTCAACCCTCTGATCTATGCCACTCTCTACCCCTGGTTCAGAAAATCAATTAAGGTCATTGTTACACTTCAGATACTGAAGCCTGGTTCCTATCAGTCCAACATGCTTTAGAGACACGCTGCATGGGTCTAATCTTGAGAATTGAATTTCATTCATGGTGCAAATTAATCAAGATTTCCCTTTTAACTTCAATATATTGGCCCAGAACAAAAGGTTAATTTTCTTTCTCAGGTCCCCGGGCCGACCTACAATAACCTGGAACAGCTGTATTTTACAACACTATACCCTCTGGCAATTCCCCTTGTTACTCAGCCGCTTCTATACTTTATCATGAACTGATTCAATGTAGAAAGTGCAAGCACATGTGCATGATGGTGTTGGGAAACTTATATAGAACGATTTGATTCTAACACGTTTTTTTTTTTTAAATAAAAAGTAAATGGATTTTCTAAACATTTCAGTGTGTATTATTATGCCAATAACCACTGTAGAGAACAAAGCAATAGGAAATAGTTGATGCTTAAAACTAAAAATAGTTATTTACAAACAAAAGCTAAACCATTTGGTATCAATTGCTGAGTTTATTCTGGCTCAGCCATGGGTAAAGTCAACAGGATTGGACGATGCAGAGTGTAACAAAGATCCTGCTTAAACTGGGTTTCAGTAGATAAAACAAAAGAAAGATTTTTTTGGATTCTCCACATGAATAGGCTTTAAGCCTATGGAGAAAAATCACTATGAGAATCTTTTCAATTGTCAAGAAGGTTTTCACAAACAAGGAATTTGCTTTGGTGGTTGTTGCATGAAAAAGAGTACAATAAATTGTTCAGAACGAGCCAGTCAAGAATGAGTTCAGTGTTCAGAATAAAAAGAAAAATAAACCACAGAGAAATTAAAAATCAAATACACTTAAATAAACATATCTACTGTTTTCTTGAATTAACATGGTTAAACTATGTAATTGTGATGGGGAAATAGTTTTCTAGGCAGCTCACTATAACCCGATGGCGGGCCACATGGGTAGCGATAAAACTCTGGATCGGATAGTGGCCCGATTTTACTGGCCAGGCATCTTGTCGGATGTGCGCTGATGGTGCGCGTCCTGCAAAATCCCGAAAGTGATATTTACTGACTAGGGCACCTCGTTCATGTCACGCACACTGCGGGAACTATACGAATTACTGGGGGTTAAATCTGTTCGGACCAGTGTGTATCATCCCCAGACTGACGGCCTGGTGGAACGACTGAATAGGACGTTAAAATCCATGATTCAGTTCATTCACGACGATGAACGTTATTGGGATAAATGGCTTGATCCTCAGTTGTTTGCAGTACGGGAGGTTCCCCAGGCCTCCACGGGATTTTCTCCCTTCGAGCTGCTCTTTGGCAGGAAACCACGGGGGTTGCTCGACCTGCTGAAGGAACACTGGGAGGAGGGTCCGAGCCCCGGTAAGAACGAGATTCAGTATGTCCTAGACCTGCGAGCCAAACTCCACACACTGGGTGAGTTATCACGTGAGAATTTGCTCCAGGCCCAGGAGCGTCAACAACAACTGTACAACAGAAGGGCCAAGCTGAGAAAATTTACACCGGGAGAAAAAGTACTTGTATTATACTTCTTCTAGCTCGAAACTACTCGCCACTTGCCAAGTGGCAAGGGCCCTTTGTGGTCACACGGTGGGTAGGGGATGTTGACTATGAGGTGGTGCGATCTGACAGGGGGGAAGCTACACAGATCTACCACCTCAACCTTCTCAAAGCATGGAGGGAGGCGGAGTCTGTGTCCCTGGTGTCTGCAGCAGAGAGAGAGGAGCTGGGGCCAGAGGTCCCAAAGTCCACCGATCCGACCCGGCTGTCGTTCGACGCCTATCTTTCTGCAGCCCAGCAAGCGGGCATAGCCCGGTTGCAAGACCAATTTAATGATGTGTTCTCCTCTCTGCCAGGTCGCACAGATCTCATAGTACATCACATTGAGACTTCCCGGGCGTGACGGTACGGACGCGGCCCTACAAGTTACCTGAACAGAAAAGAAAAATGGTTCAGCAAGAATTGGCCGCTATGCTGGAGATGGGAGTAATAGAGGAGTCCAACAGTGCCTGGTGCAGCCCCATCGTTCTTGTCGCCAAGAAGGACGGAACGATAAGGTTCTGTGTGGATTATCAACGGGTGAATGCGGTGTCATGGTTCGACGCATACCCGATGCCCCGGGTCGACGAACTCCTAGACCGATTGGCCACCGCACAGTTTTTATGACACTGGATTAGACCAAGGGCTACTGGCAGATTCCCTTGTCACCAGAGTCCAGGGAAAAGGCCACCTTTCAGCGCCTCATGGACCGGGTGCTGCGTCCGCATGCTGCGTATGCTACCGCCTACCTGGATGACGTCATCAGACACAGCACCACGTGAGCGGAGCATGTGCGGCGGGTGGGCGCGGTGCTGGAGTCCCTAAGACAGGCTGGGCTCACCGCCAACCCGGGGAAGTGTGCAGTTGGACGGAGGAAGGTACATCTGGGGTACCACTTGGGCGGCGGGAGGGTGCGCCCGCAGGTGGACAAAACCGCAGCCATCACAGCCTGCCCGTGGCCCAAGACGAAAGAAGAGGTGAGGCAGTTTTTGGGGCTGGCGGGCTACTACAGAAGGTTCACAGAAGGCTTTGCGGAGCTGACCAGCCCCTTGACTGACCTGACCCGTAAAGGTGCTTCAGATCCGGTCCAGTGGACAGAGCGGTGCCAGTGGGCGGTTGAGGGGGTGAAAGGAGGCCTCTGTGGGGAACCACTGCTCCATACACCTAACTTCTCTCTCCCTTTTGTCTTGCAGACTGATGCATCGAACTGGCTGACACTGCATGCAAAGTGGGATTTTCGGCAGTATGCGGCACTGTAAATTGTCGTGGAATTTCAGGTTTTCGGCAATTTGCGGGCAACGCCGAAAACTGCCGTAAATTGTCAGAAATTGATGTGGGCCTCCCTTGGCAGTTGTCCCCCCATGACCCCCCTCCTCCTAATTCTAGGGGAGGCTTTGACATGTAAATGAAAATGCTGTGAGCTATACAAAGGCAAATCAGGGTTTCAGAGGGAGTTTTAGCCCAGGTGAATTTTTTTTTAAAGAAAATCTCTGGTACAAATAGATCAGGCTCAGTAGCCTAATTATAGACTCTTACATTGGGTATGACGTATCTGTTCCCTGCAAGCCCCAAACTTCTATTGGCTTTCCATAAAAATGTCTGTCCGGGTGGGGATGAAGCCATGAAACTTGTGCAAGAACATGTTTAAATGCCGTACCCTTTGACACAACATTAACAACTATAAACTGCTTTATAATTGCTGGTCGTAGTTCTGCTAGAGCAGGGGTGTCAAAGTCAAATGGACGGAGGGCCAAATAAAAAATTTAGCTACAAGCCGAGGGCCGGACTGTTCGAATGTTCATTGAAAAATTTTTAAATGACGCATATAGTCTAGTGAACCTAATTGAACCTACTGAAAACCTAACAAATATATTCCAATATGATCAGATAAATAAAGCAATATTTTCTTATGGCTCTGTCAGTAATCTTTAATTTTCAACAGACACAAAAGACAAATTTCCTTTATATAAAAATCCCCATAACATGAACATTAAATGAAAGAAACCGGTATTCAAGGCACCATCAGTAGCCTATATTTTCTATTTTAGCAAAAGTGGGCTAAATTTACTTCAAAGAAAAAAACAATAATAGCAATTTTCTATCATCCACTCAACTGAAATATTTTTAAAATATAATTGGATTGAAATACAATAAAATAAAGTGCAAAAATCTATTAATCAAAAACAACACTTTGTTTAAGGAGAAGTAACATGCAGTGAAAACAAATATTAAACTTTAACTTTTAAACTTGAACTGAGTAAAAACTCTAAATATGTGATTGCACAGTAATGTTCACTTGTTTGAGGTTGAGGGTGATACTTGGTGGTGTCCCATCTTTTCCACAAGTTCATCAATGTTCGGGGTAAGGCTCTGAGCTGAGGAAATCCTCAGAATTGAGTGGAGGTGTTCAGCAGTAAGTCGACTTCTGTGTGATGTTTTGTTCAAGTTCATCAAAGAAAACAGTTGTTCACACAGGTATGTGCTGCCAAACATAGACAACGTTTGAGCAGCCTGGATGCGCAGCTGGGGCATTGTGTCGGGGAGGAAACGGGCGAACTCCGCAGCACCCACTGCCGCATATTTTGCCCTCAGTGCATCATTGCATTGGAGGTCAATCAACTCCATTTGGAGGTTTGGTGGTGAGCTTTCCACGTCAACAGCAAATGGGTTACCGAGCAGTTCCAACCTGCTTTTTTGTGCTTCAAAGTCAGCAAATCGGCGTCGAAAGTCAGCGGCAAGCATACCTATTTTATCAGCCAACTGTGCGCTCGGGAACGCAGATTATACTCTTTCAGTACCGCCACACTTTCTCCACACAGAAGACACACAGGTTTTCCAGCTACCTCCGTGAACAAATACTCCGACTCCCACCTTGTTTGAAACCCCCGGTTCTCAGTGTCCACCTTCCGTTTTGCCATTTTTGATGGGTATCTGAAAGTTAATTTTACTGTGATGCTGACAACTGCTGTGCCAATAAATATTGAAATGAAGCAGCCTACTGCTCGGTGCGTCACCGTTGCATTGTGGGAAATGTAGTATTGGTGCGTGTAAAAGATCTGCGGGCTGCCGGCTTGCTGCGGTCTGCGGGCCGGTTCTAATAATAAATCAAGATCATCCCAGGGGCCGTAAAAAACCTTCTCGCGGGCCGGATGTGGCCCGCGGGCCTTGACTCTGACATATGTGTGCTAGAGGGTCAAGGACGGGCTCCTCAAAACTGTTAGTGTTTCCACACCACTTAGAATAAACATATGCTGACCTTTCTGCTCTGTATCTATCGATTGAGTAAGTTACATTCATATATGTTACATGTCATGGCAAAACATTCAACCTCAGTGACACAAGGATACATCTGATGATACATTGTCAACATTCCATGTCTGTCAGACTGAAGATTGTCTGGTGGAATGGAGAAAGAGGCACCACTGTACAGTTTTCTAGGGAAAGTCGTTCTGCTGACACCAAAACAGTGCTTAACATAAAGCATATCACCTGTTTCATTGCACGACAAAGTCCCAACCATTTGTCTTCCTAAAATACTGTTCCTTCCGTATAACAATAACCTCGTATGTGATTGGAGGACCCTTAGATTCCTCCACGTCCACCACGTCCATCACGTGTGAGGTCATAGGCATGACTCAAGACAGCAGTACTTGCAAGACGAGCATACAATGTTACTATATTCAGAAGAACTGTATCTCTAGTTCCTTTGTTTGGTTTTTGCTGGTTTGTGAATAATGGCTGGACGACGTCTCGCGTTCAACTTCAACTCCTCTCCGCGGTCAGCAACTTTCGGCCAGTCCGCAGACAGACGAGAAGAAACTGCTGAATGCTCTCAGTGGATTGTCTCCTCAACTCCAACAACAAACTGCCGATATCAACGAGCGGTTCGCTCCACTGGAGCGTTCGGGACTCTCCAGGTTTCTGTCCATAGAGGAGAGGTTGGCGGCTCTGGAGGAACTGACTCAAAGAAGAGGAGATGGGCGCACAATCCCAAGATAGCGGTAAGAATATGTTCGATGACTGCAAGCTAAGCTAAAAGTAGCGTAGCCTAAAACGAAAGCTAAGAGTAGCCTAGTAGCCTTACAAGTGAGCAGAAACAGCTTTATTAAAGTGTGTTTTCTTTGCCATGTCGTTTACAGGAAGCGGTGCGCCGTCTTCACAACTCTGAGACGAATTACAGGCGCTACGAACCGGAGCAAGGGTAAGATTTAAAGAATAGGCTTTCATTCTGCGCTATAAGGAAGTATATACGTATAGATACCATAGGATGGATACCGATCATAACTGTACATTTTGTTTTCACAGACTAATCTCGCCTCATAATGAGGCGGTGACCTCGTATTTGCTCCGGGAAAAGTCCAGATTTCGATTTAGATAAAGACGTCATTGTGTGTAAGTGACACTGTTTACTGTTTCTCCTTCCTTGTTAAATGTTACTGTGACTTGCGTTTCATTTTTTAAAATTCATACCACACTCATTTAATTGTTTTCCAGCCGCCTGTAAGACGTATTTTTAGACGGTACGCAGGAGCTTCAGGTTCAGCCGGAACACTCATTGCGGGCGGAAGCTGCGAAGAATTCAGCGCGGAGCCGAGCGAGAAGAAAGAGGGTCAGAGTTTATTTGCTGACTTTTTTCAGGTGCATTGATAGATGTGTTGTGTCCATACGCATCGCATCGCACAGTACTAATTCATTGTTGTTTTTACAGATGCTGGAATCGAGACAAACTGTGCTGGCTGATGACGAGGTGGAACTCTGGAAATCCGCCACCGTAGAGTTCATGTCGGACGGAGAGGATGGCGTTGTTGGCGGGGTCTCGGGGTGGATTGTACGGTCACCGCCATTGCGTAGACGCCTCTAACCGACTCAGAAGAGCCACACACACTAGGCGCCAGTGACAGTCTACAACCCCGAGGGGGCAAACGGACAGTTTACTGAGCTGTAGTTTTTTACCGCCTTTAAGTGTGGGCAGATCCTCACTTTGTATATAGTTGTTGTTTGTATGTTGTTAATAAAGCTCTTTCTTTGCATAAACATGTTCTTGGCAAATGTTCATTTTCTCTATGAATTCATTGATGTCCTGGATGGTATCCTAATAATAGTGTAGTAGCCTACATAGATAACAATGAAATGAATGTACAGCATAATATGAATATATAAATATGTATAAATAAAATGAGGCGGGTGACCAATAGCGACAGATCTGCCAACCAATCACGAGTGATTTTACTTGTTTGAAAGTTGTGGTTTCATCCAGTAATGAGCAAGGAAACTCAAGCCTGGTCTGCCCAGGTGTGGTTTTGCTGCCAATCACGAGTGATTTTACTTGTTTGAAATTTGTGGTTTCATCCAATAAGGAGTAAGGCTATTCAAGCCCACTCGGCTCGGCCACCCGCGGTTTCGCTGCATTCATATGCTAATTAGGGCAATTCGCACCTCCGCCAGCTCTCCGCCTACGTCATGGTTCGTTTCCGACAATTTGTGGCACAGACAAACGCGACGTGCGCGGGTTGCAAATTGTCGGAAACGGTCGGAAATTAGGGAGATTTCCGGGCGTTTACGTGGACGAAAATCTCACTTTTCATGCAGTGTTTCGGATGTATACTATTAGTCTGAAGTGAAATCATCATGTAACTATTGATAGTTTCCTTTTAATCCTAACCTGAATTTGAACAAAAGTAGTCTCTTGATAGAGAATTTAAAGGAAATCGGCTCATGTATGGTATTTTGAGAGGCTTTCATTTTGGAATAGTAGATCAGAATGTCCTGATTAACCCTTCGTGACACCTTGCGGATGTTTTCTATCTGCCTGAAGTCAAATGATCGTTTTACAATTGATAGTTTCCTTTTCAAAATAATCTGAAATTGACCAGATGTAGTCCCGTGATCGAGAATTTGAAATAAATCGGCTCATGTATGGTATTTTGAGAGGCTTTCATTTTGGAATAGTAGATCAGAATGTCCTGATTAACCCTTCGTGACACCTTGCGGATGTTTTCTATCTGCCTGAAGTCAAATGATCGTTTTACAATTGATAGTTTCCTTTTCAAAATAATCTGAAATTGACCAGATGTAGTCCCGTGATCGAGAATTTGAAATAAATCGGCTCATGTTTGGTATTTTGAGAGGCTTTAGTTTTGGAATAGTAGATCGGAATGTCTTGCTCATCCCTGTGTGACACCTTGGGGATGTGTACTATCAACCTGAACAGAAATTATCAAGTAACTATTGATAGTTTCCTTTTAATTGTAATCTTATATTGACCTGAAGTAGTCTCGTGAAATTAGACTTTGAAGGAAGTTGGCTCATGTATGGTATTTTTAGAGGCTTTAATTTTGGAATGGTACATCAGAATGTCCTGGTTATCGCTGAGTGACACCTTGGGTATGTGTACTATTAGTCTGAAGTGAAATGATCATGTAACTACTGATAGTTTCCTTTTAATTCTAACCTGAAATTGACCAGAAGTTGGCTGGGGAGTGGCCTAAGACCTTAATAATGTTAAAGAGGACCCATCCAACGCCGCTCGCAGCCCTAATTTCATTTAGATTTTTTGATCAGAAAGAATTTTATTTGCATTGATATAACAATATGGTTGTACATTTAAAAAATAATTGATTGCAATTTTTATATTCCATTAATTGGAAAGCCACTGAGGGACGAGTCACAAAATGTTATTTTAATACAAATTCAACATTTACAATATTGTTGGGGCGGTGCGGCGTGAACATTTACTGTATCTTCAAAAGTGGGTTGTGACAGAAGTTTGAAAACCACTGAATTATTGCCGCTGCTGTTAATATTACATAATGAAAATGAACACATGCTAATATTAAGAACCTTTTCAGGCCAATATAAGCCAGAGTGTTTGTCCGAGAAAGACTCAGACGACTCAAACACCCAAAACAAATGAGCACACACTCAATTGTTATGTGACTGAGGTTTCACAGCACTCACAAACAAAGTCTGTCAATGCAGGAATCAACAAAAATGTCATAGCTTCTTCAAATCTTTAAAGTTGAAAAAACATTATTTGCATGACATGCTTTTATTGAAAAAAATTGTTAATCCCGAAAACCTTAATTCCAACGAATTGGTTTAAGTAATGAAAGATTGCAACAATATATTTAACATGTGTTAAATGTTTGGTTACTCCGGATACAACAATTGTCACATAGTTTGAGCATAATCTATTCAATTTTAATTTTTTTCTTCACATTTTTCAGACGCTCAATTTGTTTGTAAGGCTCTACATGTGCTTTAACTTTCCACATTGAATCAGTTCATAATGAAGCATAGAAGCAGCAGGGTAACAAGGAGAAATACACGAAGGGATAGTGTTGTAAGATACAGCTGTACCAGGTTATTGTAGGTCTGCCCAGCGACCTGCTCTTTTTCCAACTCTGGCACAATAAATTAAGGTGAAAGGCGAAATCTTAATTGATTTGCACTATTACTAAAATGCTGCACGTTCTGTTCAGGCTCATTTCAATTTTAGACCCATGCAGCGTGTCTCTAAAGCATGTTGGTCCGATAGGAACCAGGTTTCAGTATCTGAAGTGTAACAATGACCTTAATTGATTTTCTGAACCAGGGGTAGAGAGTGGCATAGATAAGAGGGTTGAGACAGGAGTTAAACTGAAAAAAACATATTACAATGGTTACAGATAAAGATGTGTCCAAGTTGTTTTGGGATGTAAGAACAACACAATAATATGGGCAAACGCATATCAGAAACACAACTACAACAACACCAAGATTCCTGGCCGCTTTCATTTCAGACTTTTTAGCGGTTACTTTCATTATCACAACTGCAATGTGAGACCGCATGGCACGAGCCTGATACACAGCCACCCCAAATATTCTAATATATAGAATGACAATAACAGTAATGGGAAAAATGAATGTAACAATAAGATCAAAAAGATTAACGATGTAGTTCATGTCAACAGTACACTCTCCTATGCAAGATTTATACCTTCCCGGATGTTGCAGGTTATTCTTCAGCAGCAGACTGTTAATTAAAGCAGCAAACATCCAACACAGACAAACACAGACTTGAACTCTTTCTTGTTTGACTTTGATGAAGTAATGCAGAGGATAACAAATAGCCACATATCGCTCCCCTGATATGAGCACCATGGTTCCTACTGAGGACGAGGTAATAATGGATGATAGAATAGACCAAAGAGAACACATGAGATCACCGAGCAACCAGCAGCCGTCTATCAACATTATTTGAAAGATCATGAAGAGGCCGACGAAGAAATCTGAGACGGCCAGAGAGAGGAGGAGGAGGTTGGTGGGGGTGTGGAGCTGCCTGGAGGGAAAAAAATATTGATATTTGTATAAACATTTAAGTCATTAATTGGTTCAGATAAAAATACACAATACAAAAAAAGAAAATTAGCAAAAATTCAAAAGTTTGTGATCAAGCAACACTTTCACAAATAAAAGAAACAATTCACTACTTGAAGTGGGAGATGGAGATGATGACCAGCAGGTTCAGAGCTACAGTGAACAGAGAGATGGAAGACAACAAAATATAAATCAGCATTGCTTCTAAGTGAGGACGAATTGGCTTTCTGCAGGAGGTGTTGATGAGTTGTGGAAAGCAAAGTTCAGTTCCCACCAAGGTTTCCATCACCGGAGAGGAGAAGCTGCAGAACAGCTTCTGCTGACTGGCCAAAGCTTCTTTTCTTACAACTGATTTGTCTCTTTACTTTGGGTCCACCCCTCCTACTTCATCACCTCTCTGTTGTTTCTTTCTCCATGGAGATTAAAGAACAATAGTTTCCGTGCTCATCTTCCTTCCCACTACAAATGACTATGATGTTCTGATGTTGACCTTTGACCCAATACTTTCTGATCATGTGCAATGTTTTTCATGGAATGTACTATTATAAGTACAGGCGGAGGTCACTCTGTTGCAGTGTTACGACGGGGTGCGGAAGAGGGACTCAAACGCAGACTTCAGGCACAAAAATACTTTAATTACCAATTGAAAATCAAACTGCCTAGGGGGCAGGGACAGAGACAGGGACAGGGACCAGGCACCAGGGACTCACAAACGTGGTAACGACATTCAATGGACCGATAAGAGACACACGTTCTAATGTTATAACACACATTGCATCACGGCCCATTTGACCTCATACATTAGTGCCAGATTGTTTTTACGTTTTTTACGTGTTACGGATTTTTACGTTTGTCACTACTATGTTTCATTTTCATTGTCTGCTATTATGAGATTCTACTATTACTTTATTTTATCATTGTCTACTCTACACACACACACACACACACACACACTCCTCCCCCTCCACATGTGTGAATGAATGTTTTTTACTGTTGTTTAGATATTTGGACATAGTATATTTTTTGTTGATTTGAAATGGTATTGATCTGATTATTACTGTTGGAAGTTAATAAACTGTTATACTTTAGGTGGCAGTTTTCTCTAATTTCTCTGTGCATATGTACTGTTGAGAACATATTACAGTATCCAGTATCTCTATAGAAAGAGTGTATTTTAGACACGGTTGTTTAATTGTGAAAGTTATTTTAAACACGAAACTACACACATTTGATCATCTTTGAATGTTGAACTAACGACTCTTCCTGTTGTCCTCGTGCACTTTGCTGTCAACTTTCCATCATTTGACAGCTGTGTTCGACGTGCCAACAATCTCCTCACATTTAGCAGAACGCTTTCATACCACCGTCGTGTGCCACGCAGATTAACGTAAGAGGTTTAGATGGAAGTAGCAGCTAGCTTAGCATAGCGGTGCTTTAACTGGTCCGTTTGCCACGTGGAGTAATTCTGCAGTTCTCTGCTGTATGTCGTGCCTGTTTGTTTTACTTCCAATAAAAAAGCTCTCTTCATCCTGAGAAACGGTCTTGCTTGTGTCTGATACACATATATATACATATATATATATATATATATATATATATACACACACATACATATACACATATATATACACACACACATATATATATTTATTTATATATATATGTGTGTGTATATATATGTATATATACACACACATATAAATATTATATATATACACATATATATATATTATATATATACATATATATAATTGACACCCACTCAAACCCTGCAACCTCTTCAGTCTAGACAGCAGGTGTGGATCAGACCCTCACGGACTAGAGGGACAGTTGTGGGCCCTGCACCCACACCATGCTCATATAAGGTAGAGCCCCCGGATGGAGGACGGCTGCGACGCAACCGTTGACACCTCAGGGAAGTGCCAGTGCCCCCAACATCAAGTGACTAGGTCAGAGAGACTTTCTAAGCTTCCTGAAAGACTGGACCTTTGAACACTAAACACACACCCACACACTACGAAGGACAAAAAACAAAAGACGAAGATGTTACATCAAAAGAAAAGTCATGATGTTCAGTTTGAAAAGTGAAATGTCTAGTCGAAAGCTGTGTTCTGATGTAATGCATTTAATGAGTAATCTCATACGATAGCTACAGTAGTATAATTTCTGTTAGTTTCTCAGTTTAGACTTTTAAGTCTTAATAAGGATTTGAGTAAACTCCTAAAAGTATAAGATAAGTTAGGCAACTAGAAAGTAGCCATATTGTTGAATGCACTTTGTCATCTTGAGGTTCTGACAAAGCAGTTCAACTTTTATTACACTTCTTCTCACAAGATATACGTGTGAGAAGAAGTATAAAAAAGGTTGTTGAGTCGCATCCTGATGGTTGTGTCCTTGAGTATATAGGCACAATACACATATGCTTTATCTACTTTTTGGACAGTGTATAAGCAATAAAGAATATAAATATATTGGAATATGAAATAAGTTTTGAGTCTTCTTTTGTTTTACACATTGTTTTATCTTGTGTTTTATCAGACCTTCCATATTTTAGGCCCCTTTTTCATGACGCTGTGAGCATAATTCCTTCTATGGTCAACGTGTGTTCAACCTTACGTGGTCTGTTGATCTTTATTGTCATCATAGTTCTACATACAAGTGTATTTATGATGGCACTGGAGCGGATAATAAGTGTAATCAATGCTCACATGATTATTTCTAGCTCTTAATAAAATATAAAAGGAGACAATGACATGTTCATCTGCAGATTATGCATGTTTGTATCTGTTCAGTGTACAAAACTTTTGTTGGAGTTGAGTTGAGTTTGTTGTCGTTGTTATGGACATACACACATGCACACACACATTGAGACCCACTGGGCCTCACAGCTTTCGGCACGAAGCCCATTACCTGTCGCTGTGTACCTCTGCAGCCAAGGCAACTTTCACACCTGCTCTCATTAGTGTCACATTCTGACATCAGTGCAATCAGAGATGTTGCTGTGAGACAAAACAAGGTAACATTAAGGCAAGATGCAATCGTTGCACAACAGACCAACTATTCCCAGGTTGGTGTGGTTTGTTTGAGGCAATTTTTTCATGATTAAATATTTGTGATGTAACCCCTCAGAGGACCCGATCAACCCAAATTCCATAAAATGTAATATCATTATAATTGTGAGAAACAAAAAGGTCCTTTTTAGTTGGTGAATGTACTGTGTGTTTCATATGGAGAAATGCACTAAACAGCTGATGTATCTGCCAACATGAAATAAAAACAGCAAAGCAGTTAAGTTTTTAATTACAGTGACATTAAACACAGTGAGCGTGCATTCTTACGCATAACAAGACGCCTAAACAAACATCCTTGTTGTGAATACAGGGAGAGAGAGATGTTTTATCTCATAGCGGTATGCCCCTGTTTATAACCTGATTCCAGATCATTCCTGCAGATCTGATTCCTGCGTCTTTGTTTGAAGTAGCTTTCTAAAGTGATTAACTCGTTCATTTATGAGATTTAGTCTTGCGTCTTTAGTTTAGAAGAAAACCAAACTTTTAATCTTGATTAATTCCAATGAGCGAATTTTCCAATGTGTGATTAATTAGTTAATTTTTTGCATGAACATTTCGTGGTCCGAGCAAATTCACAGCATTGAGGCTAAACTGGAAGAAGGGCTATGAGATCAAATATGTAATCCTATTGACAGCCTTAGTTAAAATAAAGAAGAGCAAAAGGCCAGATAACTTCTTTATGGAACCCAGTCAGGAAGAATTGGGCCCAGGCCATCTAATCTTCCCTTCCTCTCTAAGATCCTTGAGAAATCCGTCGCAAATCAATTATCTGACTTTCTACAAAACAATGCTTCGTTCGAGGACTTCCAGTCAGGATTTCGAGTGCATCATAGCAAGAAACAGCACACTGCATAAAAAGTGGGATTTTTGGCAGCATGCGGCACTGTAGATTGTCGTGGAATTTCAGGTTTGCGGGCAACGCCAAAAACTGCCGTAAATTGTCAGAAATTGATGTGGGCCTCCCTTGGCAGTTGTCCCCCCATGACCTCCCTCCTCCTAATTCTAGGGGAGGCTTTGACATGTCAATGAAAATACTGTGAGCTATACAAATGCAAATCAGCGTCGCAGAGGGAGTTTTAGCCCAGGTGACATTTTTTTAAAAGGTAAGAAAATCTCCGGTACAAATAGATCAGGCTCAGTAGCCTAATTATGCCTAAAATGTTTTAATCAAGGTAAAATGAGAATTCCATGCAAACAACATTTGAATCAGAATGAGGGGTCTGCAGAGATCACAGTCTCGTAGAGCTCAACTACAGTGCATAGTAGCAGGACTTCAGTGACCTTTTCTTTGGTCTTACTTAAATGCACAGAGGATGTATTAACCACACATCTTCTAGCAATGCGCTCAACTAGCAGAAATGATGCTGGGTATGACGTATCTGTTCCCTGCAAGCCCCAAACTTCTATTGGCTTTCCATAAAAATGTCTGTCCGGGTGGGGATGAAGCCAGGAAACTTGTGCAAGAACATGTTTAAATGCCGTACCCTTTGACACAACATTAACAACTATTAACTGCTTTATAATGGCTGGTCGTAGTTCTGCTAGAGGGTCAAGGACGGGTTCCTCAAAACTGTTGTGTTTCCACACCACTTAGCATAAACATATGCTGACCTTTCTGCAAAACATTCAACCTCAGTGACACAAGGGTACATCTGATGATACATTGTCAACATTGCATGTCTGTCAGACTCAAGATTGTCTGGTGGAATGGAGAAAGAGGCACCACTGTACAGTTTTCTAGGGAAAGTCGTTCTGCTGACATCAAAACACTGCTTTACATAAAGCATATCAGCTGTTTCAAAGTCCCAACCATTTGTCTTCCTAAAATACTGGTCCTTCCGTATAACAATAACCTCGTATGTGATTGGAGGACCCTTAGACTCCTCGTCCAATCACGTGTGAGGTCATAGGCATGACTCAGACAGCAGTACTTGCAAGACGAGCATACAGTGTGTGTTACTATATTCAGAAGAACTGTATCCCCAGTTCCTTTGTTTGGTTTTAGCTGGTTCGTGAATAATGGCTGGACGACGTCTCGCGTTCAACTCGCCTTCAACTCCTCTCCGCGGTCAGCAACTTTCGGCCAGTCCGCAGACAGAAGAGAAGAAACTGCTGAATGCTCTCAGTGGATTGTCTCCTCAACTCCAACAACAAACTGCCGATATCAACGAGCGGTTCGCTCCACTGGAGCGTTCGGGACTCTCCAGGTCCATAGAGGAGAGGTTGGCGGCTCTGGAGGAACTGACTCAAAGAAGAGGAGGCCGGCGCACAATCCCAACATAGCGGTAAGA